TCTCAGGTTTATTTTCACCGGCGGTGTTATTACGGGGTTTACGTATTTTCTTTACCTACTCTAATCTTCTACACGTATCTCTAGTGGGTTCCAACTTCAAAGGTAACATACCATGTGGCATGAAGGGCCGTCTAATAAGATGGGGAACCCAAAAAGTCACCACAACTCTCTCTCCCTCGACCCACCTAGATGATACCGAAACTTTCCATATTCGGCCCCATACCAGGTATCTACTATGTATGTCGTAGGTATCTACGCGTGTTGGACGATGGTGGTATGAGCATGGAAGGACTGTTCCCTGTGACATGTGCGTTCCATTTTCTAGAGCGACCAGAATTATTGGGATTATCAGATTGACCGATGCGGAAAGCAGATCTGTGAGAACCCTGCCGCCAAGCGCTGCATTGCCGATCACTCTTAACCACGAACCTTTCAACTGCTACTGAACGACTTTGACCAGTTGAATCTGTCTACTTACAAGGTACACACTAGACTACACTACTACGAAATGTAACAACGTGTAGGCCAGCTAGTCCAACCCACAAAGTGTGGATTGCGAATTTCGAGAAAAGCAGGAAACAAAATAATAAAAGGATGTCTTACAAGGGTGAACGTCGAATATCAAGAAGCGCAGAAGGATAGCTTAGGAACGCCATTGACGTCAACAAATCGTTAATTGCTTCATTCAGCAGGTTGGTACATCCATGGTTTTGATCTCCTATTCGGGGGAGACATTATTATTATCAACTTCTTCTGGCTTTTGCGTAAAGGATAACTTTATTATTCGTATACTTACTCTATACCTGCATCCTAGGTACAAAGAACTCTTTTTTTCTTTTCTTTTTTTTCTTTTTTTCTCTAAGCATGCACAATTTTCAAGTCCGTGTGGAAATCAATATATTAATGCCGAAGCGCTAATAAAATCCACTTCTACATAGTATACATAGTAAACCACTAACAATGTTCAGGATCATCTTTTTAAACAATCAGTTATTTTATTGTATTGCGGATGAGGGCTATGGCCCAGAACAACATGCCGCTCTGTTATTCGTTTATCTTTCGTCTCCCTAGTTTCGTCTGGCCAAACAGGGGGCAAAGGCGAACTTGATGTGGTCCTTTTCCTTTTTTTTTTTTTTTTTTTTTTCTTGCTCTTCCTTTTTTCCGATTCTTTTTTCCTATTTGCCCCTACCCACGCCACGATCTTTGTCTAGGTCATAGTGGATCGTTTACACATCACAATGACATCCGAACTCAGCTTGGATTGACAGGAACTGAACCACATGCCAATTAAACTTTTCCAAGTGGCTAACAAAACCGGGTTCTTCTAATTCTGACAAAAGCCAATGGAGAATGCAAATTATATTATTGCAGCATGCAATTCCAGTTATCGATTTCTGCTTTGAGGCTATCCAGCTTTGATAAATATGAATCTTTACTCAATTTCTAGATCCATGTCTCAGCCGTGTACCCCCAAGAAAACTGCCTGCCGTTTGGGTATCTGGGTACAGATCCGAAATGCTACGGTCGACGGTCGTCCCGAAACGGACATCCCGAATGCCGGATTTCCGGTATTAGGCAGGTAGACACGACAAGACAAAGCGAAGAAGCAAAGAAGCAAAGAAGCTTGCTGATTGCAGTTGGGACAACCCTTCTATTCTACTGTCGATATACCCACGAGCCTGGTTATCTATTCTCTCCCTGGCCTCGCCATAGCAAAGTGACGTGGTGATATAAACGCCATCCGGTCATATGACGATGCGCTATATGCCGGTCGCGCGTCTAACCGCATACCAAAGAAGTTGTCAGCTCATATATGCTGTGTTACCGTAGCGCCTCTCTGTCCCGTAAACATCGGTCAATGTTTCAAAAGTTTGTGAAGCATTCCCGTCTAGATCCTATAAAAACAACGCAGCCAATAACAGCGAGATCCAAGGAGATGACTTTAAAAATTGTGGCTTGCATTACATTGCTCCCTGGCTTATTCTATACGACTTCTATCACTTATCAGCTGGCCGCCACGGCTTTGTATCGTTATTTCATGATAATTATTATTGCCACTTTTAACAGCCCCTTTTTGCAAGGACATACATACTTCCTTCTCTGCATGTCAGATGTTCTTCCCATGGCAAACATTAGCAAACAAGGCTCTCTCTCCCCCCCTTTACATATTCCGGGTTAGATACTCGATATGGAAACGGGCCGCCGAATTTCTCGACACCCTCTTTCTTAGAAAAAGGCGGATTAAACAAATAAACGTGGCAGCACGGCAACCAGTAAAATAGCTATCTTTGACAAATACCGTCTCACCTAAAAAAACGACAGCATTATGTCAAGAAAAGCAGCAGGGCGGCAAGGAGCTTTAGCTAGTCACCTCTAAAGCGGTAAAGAGAATATCCGCAGGGCGTTACTCAAGACCTACTACGTACCTAGGTAGGTAGCTTTTTCTATGGGATCATGAGGATCATCGAAGTAAGTAAGACGTGGCAAGATGATCGCAACGGGATCTGGCTGCCTCTTCTTTGTCTTTTACTTTTGCTTTTTTTTAAAAAAAAAAAATTAAAAAAATAATAAAAAAGTTCTTCCAGCTTCCCTTTGAGACGCCTTCATTCTCGTGATGTGGTCGATATTGTTCTCACATAGCAAATAAACAAACTTAACTTCGAGTATGCGTATGCATGTCTCGACGTTGCTAGCTTAGACTTCAGCCCGACATAGCATGAGCATGAGCATGAGCATGATGAAATCTTATGTATACCTACCTGGTATGCAGCTTCTACTTTCTTCCTACATTAGGTAGGTCCTATATACCCTGCCACGTGCGTGAGAGACGCGAGACGAATGCGACTCTTTTCCTTGATTCGCAAAAGAAACAAAAAAAAAGTCTAATTATTCCAATCCCGAGTTAGCTAGCTGCGCCCCCCTTACCCTACCCTACACTGACATAACCTTACCCCAGCTCCCGTGGAGCAAGCCCCAGAAGCCGTGGGCGTGTGCGTGTGCGTGTACGCGCGTGTGTGGATGTAGATGTGGATGTGGTGGATAGAGATGTAAGTCGTCAGGTAGCTTAGAAAAACAAAACAAAACAAAACAAAAAAAGTATCGGCCGAAACACGCCATAAGCCGCCTCAATTCTCGAACCGTATACTCGGGTCGGACGAGCCGTACTATAGGCAGAAAGGGGCTAAGCGCGATCCCTTTTTTTTGTTGTTGTTTCTCTTTCTCTTTCTCTGTCTTTACTTTTTTTTTTTACCCGCCACGACGGACGACACTAGCGGTCAAGATAGATACAGAAGGTAGAGTAGGTAGATAGAGGTACCTGGTAGGTGATTAATTTCCACCGCTTTTCTGCTTCTTTTTCTTCTTTTTCTTCTTCTTCTCCTTCTTCTTTCGCCTGTGCTGACGACCTAGGTAAGGTATCTATCTACCCAACGTATTGGATATCATCGTCTCCCTAGGGAGGCGAGGGGAGGCAAGGTCGTGAAATGCACAAAAAAGAAAACGTTTGGAAGGGCGGGATCTCCCCTGCCTGGGTCTGGGAGGTGGATAGAAGGACACTGGGAGACTGGGAGTGAGATTATAGAACTGCTTTTTACCTACCTAGGTACCTACTGTTCTCGGTGCGTAAAACCTCTGCAGTTGGGCATCGAAAACGGCTAGGATTAGCATATTTTGGCACTTCAATTCTGGGGGGAATCCTTATAGGGGTAGATTAGGTAGGTTAGATAGGTTAGGTAGGTACCTACCTACCTAGGTATATATGTCAGCTTAGAGCTGAGCGTAGCGGACAAATGACTGGTTGTTATTTGTTGTTTGTATTTACTTTTCCTGGCTGGCTCTTACTTACGTTCTCATTCCCCTGGTTGGATGGCATAAATCCAAATGGAGATAAAAACAGGTCTACGACGACTAGGTAAGGCGAAAACGTAGTCCTGATGACAGGAATAATGTGTTTTTGTCTATAGGGGTAACTAGACGTTACCTAGTAAGCCACACAATACGTAAGTTGTCAACAATGTTTGGCTTGCCTGCTTGCCTTGCCATATAAGCCAGGCGACATTAAATACATACCTACACCTAGGTATATTTCTCTGTTCGGGCAACAGTCCGCGCGATATTATATTCTGACCACCAGGTTCATGCAGGGCTTACATGTCCCGGGTGTCCTAATAGGTATTTGTTCGTCGGATGACGGTTCCGATGCGGACATTATTCTCGACGACCTATGCGTGGGGGGGTGGTGAGAGAATCTTACGACTTGGGGGCGACCTGACTCGGCAGGCAAGAAGGAGCATAGGTAATAACAACAACATGAAAAACAATGGAAATTCGCATCTTCGTCTATGCGTTACGCGTGTCAGCAAGTGAATGTGTTGTTGTTTTTTCTGTATCAACTTCTCGGTCAGTGAATCTAAAACTGCGAGGGAGATGGCAAGTAAAACAACCCGATTTACCTATTCAACATTTGTAATCGAAGAGACCTTTACAATCGAAAAAGTACTCTGGCTTGAGGATTACTCGAGATGACGAGGCACTACGCCGCCATGGCGATATTTGTGCCCAAAAAGCCCAAAGCACCCACCACGAGACTGAGTTGGTGGTGTGCAGTCCTCAAGGAAATAAGCTAGAATATCAGGGGAACCAAGCACCCAACTAACAAATACCATAGTCTGATATAGCGGCCTACTGCGTAAGGTGTACAAAGATATACCACTGTAAACTAAATATTCTAAGCTACCTAGGTGAGGGATCAAGGGGTTATCCGAATATAACTTATAACTTTACCAAAGTCACATCGGTAATATTTGATATTGATAGCCACGCAGAACAGACTAACAAAAGCTTGAAAGGCACACTATTAGACATAGGAAGATGTACTTACGCTAACTAAGGTAACTATTTACTCCAACCCGATATCCACGTAAACATATATCTCATCCCATCCATCCCGTCCCATTCCCCTCCTCTCCTCCTTTCCCACAGACCTCTCCCCCTCCCCCCACCCCCTATCTAACAAGTAAACACGCTCGGCCCCGCGGGCTGGTACGCCTTCCCGCCGTTATTGTAGATATTAATCATGAGGCCCGGGTCGGTGGCCTTGTACGCGCCGGGGAACGAGACGAGCTCCTTGGGCTGGGCGGACCCGGACCCCCCCGAGACGTGGACCTGCGCGCACGAGATGTAGAACTGCGCGCCGCCCGCCGCCGACGCCGAGTGCAGCGCTACGTGCTCGATCCGGAACAGGTAGTCGCCCTCCGCGAGGCACTGCGGGATCGCGAAGCTGATTTGCGATTTGCCTGGTTGAGGAGGGAGGAGGGCGTTAGTATGGGGCAGGGAAGGGGAAAGAAAGAAGGTAGAGGGGGGGAGGGAGGAAAAGAAGGAGGAGGAAAAGAAGGAGGAGGAAAAGAAGGAGGAGGAAAAGAAGGAGGAGGAAAAGAAGGAGGAGGAAAAGAAGGAGGAGGAAAAGGGGAAGGGGGAGATAATACCGTTCGATGGCCAGTTGTACTGCCCGCCAGACACCGACGGCATGTCCTGGAATACCTTGAACCACACCTTTCCGCTACCGTCCCAGTCGGCTGCCGTCTTGCCCGATGGGACCTTGGCCATGTATGCCGAGAGAGCTAGCAAATAGCATCAAGTTAGTCACTCGATTCATAGTGTCCTATCCCCCATCTCATCTCGTATCTCATCCTGCTCCATCCCGTCGGCTCGGAATGCCAATACTCCCCTCCGTCTTCACACATGAGCATACTAGGTTAGGCATGCGTATGAAATAATAACGTACTGCAGAAACACGAACGTCAGCATTTTTTCCTTTCTATTCATCCTATCCCATCCCATCCATATATCAGCTCTCCACGAATCTCTCTCAACGCCCCAACAGCAGCCCCCCTGGCCAAGAAAAAAAGAAGAAGAGATAGATTAGATGTAGAGGCAGATACGTACCCTCCAGGGTGGTAAATATTCGGGTTCGCAACCCAAGTGATCTGGCCCCCGGCCTTGACCTGGGCGGTCTCGGGCGCGCCGCCCGGCGCGCGCTGGTAGCAGCGGATGGCGTCGGAGCCGACGTCCGTCACGGGGCCGTTGGACTGGAAGTTGGCCGTCTGCCGCACCGACGACCAGTCCGACGTGCCCGCCAGCTTCGGGAACGTGTCTGCGGGGAACCAAAAAATTAACATTAAAATTAGAAAATTCAACACCAATTCCGCTACAGGTAGGTAGGGAGGGAGGTAGGTAACCTAGCCCTGATTTCTCTCCCACGTGATAGATGAATAACTGTTGGCATTGTTTATTATACGTACAATGCGGGGCGGCTTGAGTGCCGGCCACGAGGAGCGCGAATGCTGCTGCGGTGGCCTTCATCGTGGATGATACTCTCTCTCTCTCTCTCTCGTAAGGATTTGTTATATAGGATAGGTACCTAACTACCTAAAATCCAAGCACACGGCTGAGCAAGCAAACAGTAAGGAGTAGCTAGTAGCAAGCGGTAGTAATAGTAGTAGTATCAAAGTCCTACGGGAAACAGAACGACATCGACAACACAGCAACACAAGAGACAAGACTGGCAGACAAGAGAAACCATCATCGTATATATAGTACATATGTATTATCACCCAGGCGGGAAAACCACAAGAGGCCTAAAAAATCGAGACGGAATATGTCGTTGCGTTTACTAGGAACGGTGTTAGTCGGTCCACTCACTCACACCCCCCTGTTTGCGGATAAAAGACGCTTCTCATTTCCGGTTATATTCAACGGCCACTCGCAAGCGAAGAAGAATGACCTCGTCTGGGGACTCACTACGAAGCGCCAGTCGGCAATGCTACATACTGAACATGCTACTCAAATGACGCACCTGTCTAAGAATAGAATGTGAATGTCACGAACGCCGACTGAACCTATCCCTTTCTTGAGAAACCTGTATTAGATAGGTGGTTAGGTGTTCTTGACTCTTGGCAATCTTTCACGTAGCCGGCTTAGTATAGAATATTCTTATAGCAGTAGACCTCGAATTCATGCTACGTACTTAACCGCATCGTCTCCTAGCGAGAACAACGCAGATGAAAGCCTACATATACATATGACCCCAGGATAGGCCTTGAAGCAAGTCCAATTCTGCACAAGTCAGTAAGCAACATACCTCTTCTCTCGACTCGAAAGTCAAAAATTGGCAAGTTGTACGGCCTCAAGTCCAGAGTTGCTTCATTGCAGGACCAAGGCAGAATAAATTCTGCACTTTCCACGTCTCTCTCATCTTGGTGTAATTCCTGTAGCTCGTTGGGTGACCAAATTAGGTTGTGCGGAATGCGCAAAATCTGCATCGACATGCACAGATACCTTCGCAAAGTGTCGACATAACGACGTCTAAACATCCGTACCTCTAAACACAACGCCATTTGTGCATATGTGCGATAAAAGAAAAAAAATGCAATCCGGCGAATACTTTACGACGTTCTAAACACCCTCGATGGAGGTAATCACCATCGTCGGTTGTTGATGGGCAGAGCATTAGCACCACCTGCACCACCGCCGCCTATCAAACAAGATTGTTAGTACTGCATCCTAAAATCTACTTGAAAAATGTCATGACATACCTCGGTGACCACCACCGCCACCGCCACGACCGTAACCTCGTCCGCCGTAGCGGCCTCCACCACCGCCACCGCCGTAACGGGCCATCTCATGAAGTCTAGGATCAATCTGCTGCTTGGCCTCTTGAAGAACTGATACTAGATCACGAGCCTGCTTAGAATCTGTAATATTGTTAGTGGTAGGCTTTCTTCAATATTTCTCAAGTAGATAACTTACTGTCAGCAGTAAAGAGAGTAATGGCAGTGCCCTTGGCGCCCGCACGGCCAGTTCGGCCAATACGGTGGATATAATCCTCAGAGTTGTTCGGGTAGTCATAGTTGATCACATGAGTGATGTTGCGCACATCTTAATTACAATCTAATGTTAGCAAAACCGAAAGCCAAGGTTTCTGTAACAAGTCCCAGCGACGGACGTGCTGTGCCTAAGTATATTTTCCGTGCTTTCTCCTCGGAGAATTGGGGCTGTCTGTTGCATCAACATGCCAGTTTGGAGGAGATTCCAATAATCTGGTCTGGGTCCTAGGATCTGGGAGTCTGGAGACAGCTTGACAGGATCAAGAAATGCCAACTCCGCAGTCGTACCACGGGGATAATAAGGTACGACAACGGAACAAGGGTATAGTACATCCGCTATACCACGGGACCCCAATATTCCTGAATAGATGAGAACCACAAGACACACTGGGAGATCAGGCAAATGCGCGCAATCGAGAAAGCCCCTAGACATAGAGTAAAGCACAGCGGATATAACTCTGCTGGATATTGATACGGGGGGGAGGGGGAGGGGAGGGGGAATTTGCAATCATACCAATACCACGTGAAGCAACATCGGTGGCTACCATAATAGGACTCTTTCCAGTCTTGAATTGGTCAAGGACCCAGTCACGTTCGTTCTGCTGCTTGTCGCCGTGAATAGCTGGAAAGGGGTTAGCTTTGAAAACCCGCATGTAAAACTAGAAGCTTGGAGGAACTTACAAAGGGCCGGCCAGCCATCTTGGCGGAGGAATCGCGTAATCTCGTCAGCGACTCGCTTTGTACCTACGAAAATAAGAGCTTTGTTCTCCTTGTTGTCCATAATCTTCTCGAGATGCTTAATCATGCGATCGCGCTTCTCGCCCTCGGATACAACCTCGACGACTTGTGTAATACGGTGGTTAGCGGACAGGTCCATGGAACCAATGTTAACCTGAATGAAATCGGTCTGGAATTCGGCAGCCAGAGCACGGACTTCCTTCGGCCAGGTTGCAGACCACATGAGAGTCTGACGGTCAGGTCGAATCTGACTGATGATCTTGCGAATCTGGGGCTCGAAACCCATGTCCAGCATACGATCAGCCTCGTCGAGGACTAAATAAGTCACTCGGCGAAGGTTGGTCTTACCACCTTCGAGCATGTCGATCAGACGACCAGGAGTGGCAATGCAGACCTCGACACCCTTGGAAAGGTCACGGATCTGAGGACCACGGGGAACACCACCGTAGACACATGTGTTGCGAATGCGCGAGGATTTACCGAATTTGGTAATCTCCTGCTGAATCTGTACGGCCAGTTCTCGAGTAGGGGCAAGAACAAGCACGATAGGGCCATCGCCGGGTGCCAATAGAGGCTGGGCGTTGATGTGGACAATTGCCGGAAGGCAGTAAGTAAGCGTTTTACCGGAACCCGTCTCGGCAATACCGACGACGTCGCGACCTGAAAGAGCCATGGGCCATCCCTGAGATTGGATAGCAGTAGGAGCGGGGAAGCCCTGTGCCTTGACTTCATCCATCACATATCGAGGGAAGCCAGCCTCGTCGAACGTCTCAACAGGCTTAGGGACATCGCGGCCAGAAATGGTTATTTGGTGATCTCTTCGGAATCGCTCAACTTCACTGGCGGGTCGTCGAGCAACAGCTTCATCCTCCTTATAGAAAGACTTCTCAAACTTGGGGAGGGCACTAAGATCTGTGGAAATCAAGGTCAGTTTGCGAGTAAATAACAACTCAGGAATCTGGAAAGAACATACCCCAGTTTTGCTTGTGAAGACCAGCTCCGAGGTTGGACATTTTGTCACCGCCTCCGCTTCCACCATAACCTCCACCGCCGTAGCCTCCACCGCCACCGCCATAACCATTGCTGAAAAAACAGACATGTTAGTCTCGATAATCCAAATCCAGGGTATACAGAGTTGGGGATTTGAAGTGAGGTAAGACACAATAATAACAATTTTTTTTATTAAAAAAAATGCAATTCTTACCCGTAACCATGCTCCTCGCGACCACCGCCGTGACCTCCATGACCTCCATACTTGTTGTGGCCGTTAGAATAGCCTCCTCCACCACGGGAGTTGTAACCACCGCCGTAAGACATGATGATGGCTGCTCGCGTTTGTGATGATCGGGTTGCTATGACTACGAGAGGCGAAAAAGTTCAGCGCAAACGAAGAAGACGAGATGATGTCGCGTCTCGAGTTGGCTGATCTGATTGATTGTAAAAAAAACACACAACCTAAAAAGTTGCAGCGTGCAGTCTGCAAAGAAAAGGAGCGAAAATTGGGGGGTATTATGAGATGAAGAGTTTATGAACTCGAGATGATAGGGAAGGAAAGGCGTGGTGATGAGTTTTTGAAGTCAAGAAGGACCCTGAGTCAAGCGGAACTAATTTTTTTTTTCTTAGTCTCGAGGAAAAGCAACAGTCTAGGCCTAACGAATCAGGGATATGGCCCGTGCATCCCCATTCCTTTTTTTTTTTTCGCCTTGCATGCTAGCTAAAGTTGTCTTAGCGCATTACTAAGGAGGCACGTTAACAGGATAGCAGGAGCAGGTACCTAGGTACAAGGCCTCTACTCCACTTTTTTACACATTGGATTGGAAACTGCTTGCGATAAACATCATCCACAGCTGCGGGCAGGTGCAGTCACCTATTGCCACTATACTAAGGTAGGTACTATGTAATTTTTGCCTCTGGACAACCGGTTTTTTGTTTTGGTCAATTTACAGTGACAGACATTACGATCTGAGTAATGCGTACAAGATCAATCACATCAGATTAGGTACCTAAATAACCTTACATATACTGGATCAACCGTACATTTACGCCAGTTAATGTAAACAAATGTATTAAAGAAAGCCACCATGAGAAAGTATCACTTTACAAACGACTCTCACCAGCATGATCATGACTCAATAGGCTTTTGTCTCAACACCGACGATGTCTCAAATACCAGGCAATTAATTGTACCACACATTTTAATACACCCGTACCATTTACAGGTACCTAATCCATCTATTTCCTTCCACCAGATGCCCGCGCTTCCCTTCTATATAGTGAATGAGATGGATTCGGACGAAGATTCGAGACCCGCGGGTTAAGCTGATGGGAACATCTCCCAAAAGCCAATTTCCATCTAGTTATCTCAACGTTAGTACGACGCATAATATTAACCTCTCCTCCCATCTCACCAAAAAAAAAGAAAAAAACGTCTTACCTTCGTAGCGTGGATAAATATCTTAACCAGCTCTTCTATCCTCGAAGGAGACTGTAAGACCGCGTTCTTTTCCATGAGAGCTTTATATCCACCAAGCAATCTAGATTAGCATTTTCTGATAACTAGCGGTCCCAAAGGACGTGTGTCTTTTAAGGCGCGACTCTCACCAGATCCAGTTGCTACCGCCTCCACGTAGTCCTCCGCGACGTAATTCAGGATCCATTTCCAGTACGTGTTCCCCTCCGTCTTCGTTCTCGGGTCGCCGTGGAGCTGCTTCGCAATAGCTCCGTAGCCGAGGAGGCAAGGCGCCAGGGCAACTTGGAGGCCAATCCAATCTTCCGATTGTCCGATATCGAGGACGTATCTTGTGTACGCGGTACATGCTAAGCAATCAAGCAATCGATCAATCAGCAGCTGGGCGTAGAATGTGAATAGTAGACAAGGTTTAAGGCTTTATTTTATATACCTTGGTGCTCTTCCGTCGCCTCTATCTCCTCTTTCGATATGCCGAACTCTTTACAGTAGTCAAGGTGAAGCTTCATCTCGGTGTGGATATGCGACACGATCTTAGCCCCCTAATCGCGATATTAACATCAACTTGTTTCTTATTTCGATCACTGGACACCTACTGCTGCAATATCTTCCATATTCTTGGACTTGTACGACGCCAACGCATTCGCCCTAGCAAAGTGAACTAGGTATAGATAATCTTGTATCAGATAGCCTTTAAACGACTCGAGAGGCAATTTTCCGTTGCCGAGGCCGAGGACGAACGGATGGTTAATAAATTGATGCCACACCGGAGCGACATCAGGCCGTTCCAGAAGGTATTCGATGAAGTGACCCCTTATGATCATTAGCAGGATAAATTTACACCGAGTTCGGCCCTAGGGGACTTACCGAGAGAACGGGAGGGTAAGAACTGAATGGAAATGGTTGAGTGGTCCGTTTCCTTTCCCGTACCCGGGCGCAGACCTGATTCCTGCTTCGACGTACCGACAGGCAGCCTTGACAGCCTCTACGGGTTTCTGCCCTTTGGAAAGATTGGACGCGATAGCAGAGGCGAGAGAACAGCCAGTTCCGTGTGTGCTGCTTGAGTCTATGTATGGACTCTCGATCCTCGTGGCACGTCCCTCTCCAAATAATAGGTCGACAACCAACTCCCTTTCCTCAGGGGTCGTAGCTATCGAGCCGTCTTTCTTAAAGGGCGCATGGCCACCTTTGATGAGAACCCACTTGGGCCCCAATTCCGATACCTTCCGGGCGATTACCTCTAAGTCGTCTACACGTCGGATGTCGACAGTCCCCTTTCCACTCTCGGAGAGTAGCAGCTGTGCCTCGGGGATATTTGGAGTAAGAACAAACGTCTGCGGGAGCAGCAGAGTTCTTAACTCATTCACGGCTTCCAGTGGTAGGAGTTTAGACCCAGTGGTGGCAACCATAACCTATTTAGATTAACCTATCATGAACTTCCTCGGGGAAACATGATCAGGCAAATAGACTTACAGGATCCAAGACCAGCCTCTCGACCTTGTAATCCTTCAATGCCTGTGCTACAGTCTCGATAGTACGTGCAGAGGCCAACATCCCTTGATGGAGTCCGGATAAGCATCAGCACGACGAATTGGGTGATCGGATTACTCACCCGTCTTCACAACTCCAGGTTCAATGTCCGCAAAGACGGCATCGATCTGCTTCCTTACGAACTCAGGGGGTGTGTGGTGTATGTCACTAACCCCAGTGGTATTCTGAGCCGTCAATGCCGTCGTGGCAGTCATAGCATAGCAGCCGTGAGCCGCGATGACTTTCTGGTCCGCCTCGAGGCCGCTGTTGGTTTTACATCGACGATCCCGTCAGTTGAGAGAGAGAGAGAGAAAGAGAGAAAGAGCGCGTGAGGATCGGATGATAGGCTCATTGAACTTACGCACCACCGCTCGAATCGCTCCCCGCGATAACAAGAATTCGTCTATTGGCCATGATGCTACTGATAAAAAAAAGAAAAGAAAAAAGTCCTACGGCCAGTCAACTGACCTTCCTAATCAAGTCGCGGACTTATATTGTACGGGATTAACTGATGATCGTACTAAAAGTTCCCCGTGTTGCGCGAGAGATTTCTTTTATTAAAGTTCTCAATGGTTTGGACTTAAAAAGAGGTAGCTCGATGAGTGGGGCTCACGCCATCATCCATCCACTCACCATCGACAAGACGATTATGTATACGATATATACCTTAGATACACCTCGATACATATCTTATACATTAGGTTAGGTAGGTACCTATATAAGTCACTAATGAACAGTGTTGCCCTAAGAAAAAAAAAGGGGGGGTTCCCCCTTTTTGCATCAACAAATCAACCATCACATAATTTTTCAAAGAGAAATATGGTATGGGCATGAGACGTCTATTTGTAAATTATTAGGTGTTAGGTACTTAGCCGGTAAGCATTTGCCCAGCCAAACTCGGCGTAGATAGATATGTGTGAGATATAATCCCGTTTTTTTTTTCTCCCCCGTCTTTGTTGCTTGTATGCTCTCTCCGCCAAGGGGATTCGAGTCGGTGTGTTTAACAACTAAATCACACGTGCCTTAGTTGAAAAGTTCCTGACTGTCAACGTCACCTCCTCCTCCTCCTCCTCCTCTTCCTCTTCCTCCTCCTCTTCCTCCTCAGCCTTTAACTCCGTAAGCCGATCTAGTAGTACAAAGCATTAAAAAAGAAAAAAAAGAAGAAAAAAATTTGGGTGGGTGTAGAAAAATGCATGATCTGATCCCAAAAAAAATTGTGGTTCCTTTCGCCCCTCCCCCTATTTCGGTTGTAATTCTCAAGTTAGGCCTCCCGCGCCCGGTAAGTTCAGTTGCTCGTTGAATCCGTCAGGGCCCTCGCACCGCCCGAACAGCCACCGTAACCTCTCCATGTTATTCCGGAGCTCGTCTCTTTCGCCTTCGAGGGCGGCGCACTCGCGCTCCAAAGCCTGGATATGGCGCCGGGCCATGTCCAGCACTTCTGCTTTGCTGACCCTGCGGTCGGTCACGTCGAGCGCCTCCCCGTCGCCCTCGCCCTCGCCCTCGCCGGCCTGCATGGTCTCCGGCAGGGCATTGAGCAGGCTTTCGAAGTGGGCGTTGAGCCGGTTACGGTACTGCTTCTCCACCTGGTTGTGCGTCTCGCGGCTCTTCTGCTCCTCGGCCGAGGCCGGCGGGTTGTGGTGCGTGTTTTTGCTCGTGCGGGAAGCGCTGCGGAGTCGGGACTTGCCCGAGTTTGACGCTGACGACGTGCTTCCCGGTGACAGCACCTGGGGCTGTTTAGACTTCCGCGGCCGTGACGACTGCTTGCTGCTCTTCTTGTGACTAGAACCGGCCGACGCCCCCGATGGTGGAACGCGCGGACTAAGCGTCGCTGCCCCGTACCCCGAGGGATAGGGATGGTGATAAGTATCTGAAGTGCCGATAGATCTAGGCTCTTGGGATATGGTTTGGTAAAAAGGAAGTCCAAAGGGGTCTCCTGTAGGTGTGGTGAACGATGCTCCGCCGGATGATCCCATATTCACATCTGTTGGGTTGTGGCTACCCACAACGTAATTCGGGATGCTCGGGACCGAAGCCGGAGGGAGCGACTGGCTTTGGTAGTCGAGCATGCTTTCTGAGGTCTTGTTCGATGCAATCGTTGAATAGGATGCGTACGAGACGTTTTGACCTTGCGATGATGCGTGTTCACTCTTATAGTACGGGCCGTCAGAGACGTACGCCGACGATAGGTGCTCGGAGGAAACCATCTAGATATTGTTGTTAGTTAGATACTAGGTAATCAAGGCTTGCTTCGCTGAAAAATGTTGTCTGTCGGTTGTCAATACGATAGGTAACTTTGAGTCTGGACACGCCGGTTTTATTTACAGGCTGCAGTCCTGCAAGGCAATTCGATGAGACATAGTCGGACGCATCCGTGATGCTTATGGACCCGGCAAGGCTGGTAAGAGTACCATAAAAATAGATAGCGGGTAAGGGTGGCACACCTCGGGGGCTTTCGGGCACACGGTAGGGGGAATCTAGATTGGCCAACCAACTTACGTGAAAGGGTAGAGCAACTGAGATACCATAGCATTGAGCATTGTACGGCATGTTCCATATAGAAACTTGGATCGACTTTATGCTACACTTGACTAGCAAGCCCGAGGAATAAATAGCAGAAGACGGAACTGGAAGGCAGTGTAGTAGACGGTGTGCAACTATCCCACAAGAATAGCCAGGCAGGGTAGGGTTGTTTAGATCCTCAAAGACGAATCTTTCCCAAATATGACTTCTCTCACTCTTAAATATACCACGATAAGCAGACTACTATTGTTATCATACCCAGCGAAAGCCTTACCCGTTAAGCGATGGCCAGCCAATATGCCAGGACGCTTGCATGACAGACGATGAGCTCTAGCTAATCTCTAAAAGACGCAGGTAAGGTAGCATGGATGCCCGGGCTTCGGCTCCAGAGGTCTGTTTAGGTGGTATCGACTTGGGGGAGTATATGCCATGTGCCGATGGGTAGAGGGTTCTTGGGATGGTACGACAGCACTGTGGCATCCTGATATCCCCATTCTATTCGGCCGCTGTTCCCATAGGGCAGAACCAGAATCAAGGAAAACTCGGTACGAATGCATCTCCCCGAAGAACAGACCATCTCAGGATGCGGTTCGGATCGTGGACTTTTGGCACTCGAGCGTTGCTTGAGGTAGGATTAAACATATTGAGGGTTTCTATATCCAGAGCTGGGGAATCGTTTCCCGGCAGAATACGTTTTCAATAGAGATCCTCCTGCGGCTCTCGAAACGTTCAGGTAGGAAAAAGTTTTGAGCCGTCATGCTTTGTTTGGGAGTTTCTTGTACTACCTCAATGACCCATGTCTCAATGCATTAACATGACTACCTGCACGCTACTTAACCGAGTCCAGCTTGTAAGAGGAGTAGCTATTATGGTCAACAAGTATTTTCTTCAGCCTCGAAACTCGAGGACGCCTATGTAAGAAAGGGTCATGATTGGCTTCAAGTTTAGTAAGTATGAGCCTAGTTTTGCGGCAACTCCTGCGCTGTTTGGATAAAATTATACTTGAATACGTGGCGTAGTCAGCCTATAAGTTTGGATTCTCAGCCGAACCATGGGAGTAAATACCATCGGGCCTATTGTCTATTCACGTATTGAATTTCAGATCCCTTGAATCCATCACCGGTCCCGAGAGCTGAACTCCCAGTGATAATATCAGAGTTGATGGTAGATATAATTAGAGGTAGGTTAGGTTAGAGGTAGTGATCATTTCGATATACGGCCAGCTTAGCTTATTAACAGCTCTGGAACACAATTGCGCCCTGGCTGTTAAGTCTTACGAAACATAACATTAACAATTGTACGTTACACAGCTTCCTCACCGTTATTATTTAGGGTCGCTTATCCTGGTTGATTCCGGGGTTGATGTAGTGGTCTAATGTAAGCACACGCACAGGTAAAAAGAAGGACAGAAGTGTAAGTCAGATACCATGTAATAGAAGCCAGTTCGGTTCCGGGAGGGGAACGCCGCAGATCTCTTAATGACCATTCTATCCAATCAACAACCCCGCCTCATCGACTCATCGAACATATGCAATCCTTCTTCTTTATAAACTGTATTGTAAGCAAGAAGTTTCAGGCCTAGAAGGAACGCCAATGCCGTTAAAGGGGCGTAGTTCAACTGTAGCGGGCAGGTCTCCCCTATTCTGGTTCTTACGCAGGATTCTGCGTTTTGGGTTTCACTGGGTATGAATATGTATTTAGGACATCAACGAAAAAAAAGGTAAGAAACTAAACCTACAACAGCTATCATGGCATCTCGCATTTCGTCAACTCGTATCGTATCAATTTAATAAACAAACCTTAGTTATCACTGATTTTTTTTTGGCCTATTTTTATAAGGCAAGACAAGATAGGGGTTAAACGGGACTTGTCATAACAGATTTCCCTCTCTAAATTTAATAACGCGGTTCAGCAGATTTCGTCTAGAGATGGCCCAGCTGCATATGGCTTATTTTTATACACAAGTCCCATTGGCCGCATCCCATCTCACCTTGTTGAAACAAGAAAAGGGTCAGAATTCTTTTGCTAAGCTCGCCAAAATGGCATTCGAGAAGTTCCCTGGAAGATTATCCCGCAATGAAGTTGGGTACATCGCAGTCATCTCAGCCTAAGTGATACCTTTGTATTACCGAACTACTACTGACGATGCGATAGTAAACCTAACTATACGAAACTCAACACTCGTTGGCGGATAACGTAGAGTTACTCCAATATTATCTTCGGGAAGCGCTCCGATCATCTACGTCGTTGCGCTATCCGTTACATAGCAGCATCTGGGTTATAGAAGACGTCACTATATATTCGAAGAAGTACCACGTGCACCTGTCTATACAGTGCCGGACTAACTAGCCTTTGATAATGCTACCTGCCTGGTATTCATGGGCAACTCTTTCCGGAAGCTGCAGGCTTTGAATGTTGGGTATACTCTTTGAATCAGCGACTATCGACATTATTAAGCTGCAAGGCGAATCAGATAAACCTCTTCTTACTGAGTTTAGATGCTCAAGCCACTTAGGATACTTACCGACAAAGTGCGACTGGGTTGCCAGCGTTGTTTGACAAGGTTTCTACCCGAAATCCTTAGCAGGTGCGATGACTCGAAATGATTTTCTTTCCTTGGAAATGCCTGCGATGCAACTATGTTTCCGCTCCGTCCTGGCTGATGGGCCGAGCTATAGGCAGTTGACCACGAATGAAACGATACCCGGGAGCGGCTTGACCAACAGGACTTGGCAGAAAAATTATTGCGGAGAGAATTCAAGAACCAACATGTTTTTCAACGGACAGCATACGCGATGCTGAAGAAACATTGGTGGCTAGTCCTGTTATCCCCAATATTTCCATATTCTGCATCCAGACCGACATTTCCTGGATGCAAGTGAGTTCGCAGAACCGAGTATGCACTGCGTTAGGTATCAAGAGGTAGATAGAGACCTCTCACGACTGGCTGTGGCAATTGGGCATCAACCCGTGTTATGGGCTATAGTTGAGTTTGGCTTCCAATAACCCCAAACCTTACAGTGTGTGACTCCGTTGCTGACTATCAGCGCTAGTATATTATTATAGAAGCCCCTTGGGGTACTTCGTAATAACCAACGTGATGGTGTCCTGAACAAGCCAAGCCTACATTATTCAGAGACGTCTACTAGCGCTATAACATGGAGTGTGAAGTTACTGTGAGGTTATTTTATATCGGTTGGTGTTATGGCATCTCTCAATCGACTGCCAAGATCTGTTGTAAGTTGTACTCGTGCTATGAGTGAATGCAACTCCCTATTGATACTCGGAGACCTATGGACCTACTTGAGACTGAATGACTGATATAACTTGAAGCTCTTTGTCTCGGATAGATGAGTGTCTCGAAATGAATAGGAGGTAGGTATCCAACTGCGCGAGTATGGAGCTCACTACGCATCCCACCAACTGCATGTCAGGGGCACCATCTTGGTAGCATGATAGATATTCAAGTTCCTATAAAGGGGCTAATGGCTATAGGAAGCCATCACACGAATAAGTCAGAGTATTAGCTAGGAAGACTAAGCACGGGAAGGATCGTCGGGCTACTGGCACACGGCTACGGAGTCCACGTGTGCTGACAGATATGCTGCAGACAATAATGTCGATTCTATTCCTGAAGTGTTCAGATAGACAAGAGCTCTAATATATCATCTTTATGTCGCCATTTAGGGATATCCTATTAACACGATACTCCAACTCTTGTCCACGTCAGCTAAGCCAGTGTTTAGGAGCATACGTAGTCACAGACTCTTGATACAAGGTACTGTACCTACTATTAAAACTAGCGCCTTCAGTGTGATGCGAAGATTCTCTAAAAGATTTTGGAGCTGAAAGTCTTTAACCCCTTTTACTTACATTAGTGGTTCCTCGGCATATAACAAGTGTACCTCTCTGTCATCTCTGTCATCTGTCAGAACTTAGAGTCAGGCTTCTGCATGTCATCTCTGCAGGTGTTATAAAAAGCTTGATTGCCTCCTATAGACTTCTGAGGTGTGACTTAAAGCTATAGCTGTTCATTAATAACCTCAAAAACTTGCTCACTCTAAATAGTCGAAGACGTCTAAAATGTGGTGTCGTTGGACTAAAGCCAACGATAGGATAGGATACGATGTATACACTAGCATCAAATTTCATCTCACACCTGCGATTTCTAAGCTCAATCTACGAAACTCTCTACGTGTGTAACGATAACGCAACCATAACAAGGCGTTTATTAATCCAAGCCGCGGAGGAATCGTGTGTAACTGACTCTTTTCACATAAGACTAAGCCCAATACTCCTCCAGATTTCTACGTACAACGCCGTGCCTACCGGATACAATAAGCTTCGTAGGATCAACAATCTTAATTCAAAAGCATAAATCTCTTCTCTGAACTAGAAAGGGGTTACCCGTTTGGTTACGACGTCATTGAACATCAAGCCCCCTCGACGAATAGCGCTCCTTACCGCACATGGCGCTGACCTGGATTTCACACCAATTCGCATTTATACGATACTCTATGCGATACTTTTCCAACATCCAATCGTAATTCGCGGGTCCGGGCCGTGTAACGATAGCACCAGGCACATCTACCTACCATATGGTGTGGCAGATTTACCCTTCCAGAAGCGGCCCGTTAATCCCAAGAGGCGCAGAACAAAAAAAAGACGCGAGATAATAAGGGATCTTGGACATGTGCTGCAGCCGCCGGTACTTCAAATTCTGTCAAGCACCAAAAGGTCGGAGAGCACGTTCGAAGGGTTACGTCGTAGGATCAATAGGATTGAAGCGCGAGAGGCGTAATTTCATCCTTGCATATATGCGCGTACGAACCCAGCGGCATCTCCGGGCTTTATATGCTGAAGATTACGCATGTGACTGACGGCCGCTGTATACTTGTTTCAATGTATGAAGGGTATCGTTGAATACTGCCCATCGTGGAGCAACTCGAGATCTAATATGGGCATAGCAAACAAGCACAAACCAAATAGTAATGCATTCCCAAAATGGCGTTAAGATACATCCAAAC